TACATTATTCTTTTATATAATAAAGTGCTCAAGGGATGTTTGGAGATGTTTATGTGTATTCAGGACATAATTGTCAGTATTGTGGAGAGGGTGGGTAGCAATCTAACATTTGGTGATAAAACTGATAATCATCATCAGTTTTTTTATCAGTTTACCACTGATTTAGCTTCCACAAATCTTTAGTTGTATATTGTCCTATAAAGTCAGGAGAAAGGCTAAGACCTCCATACAGATTTGATATAATACTGCATGAAATCACTGGATAAGGTTGCTTTCAGTATGGGTGAGTTATCATCAGTACCCCATATATACTCAGCTGTAGATCTGGACCACTGTCTAATCAAATGATTCTATCAAAGTCCTTCCCCGTGTCGTGTCTGAAAGCAGAGGAAGCCCCACCCTGGCAAGATTGGAGTAACTGTGGATGCAGGTGGTCTCTGGATCCAGGGACTTTCCATTTCTTCTTCCATCTTTGTGAATGGATTGCACTTCTGCAGAAAAAAATGTTGCACAGTTTTGGGAGTCTTCCTGGATTCACCACACCTGTAAGAAAAACAGGTGCCAGATGTGTCAGAAAGGATTCTACACAGATTTATCATTTGTATCAGCTGTACCTATTGCTGACTGAGGGAGTCAAAAAGGTCCTTTTCATGATCACCCATGCCTTGGTTACTTCAGATTGTGGACTACTACAGTGTGCTTTATTGCTCTTGAGGACCACCTGGAAGCTTCAGCTGATCCAAAATGCAACAGTAGATGCAGTTATAGGCATGCTAGAATATTATCCTGTGGTGCATATGTTTCAGCTTGTGTAAGCTCTACTGGTTACCAGGGCACAGTTCAAGGTGCTGATTATCACTGTAAAACCTTCCATAGCATAGTAATAGCAATAGCACTTAGACTTATATACCACTTCACAGTGCTTTACAGCCCTCTCTAAGCGGTTTACAGAGTCAGCATATTACTCCCAACAATCTGGATCCTCTTTTTGCTGACCTCACAAGGATGGAAGGCTGCGTCAACCTTGAGCCAGTGAGAATCGAACTCCTCGCAGTCGTCAGAATAAGCCTGCAAATACTGCATTCTAACCACTATGATACTATGATGGACTCTGTCTCTCCCTTTGCTGTTCATTCTGTAAGATCAAACAGAGAAGTTCCATCTATTAAACTGAATGGAGAAGCATATCTTTTCTGCTGTGGCACATTCCCTTCGAAATAACATAACAGCCCAAGCCTTTCTTTGTTTTAAACAAGCTTTGAAGACCTGTCCCCCCCCCACCCCAAGGCTTGGGGGCTAGAGTAGAAAGTGAATTTCTTTGCGAGCATGGTTTATACTTTTCTGTTAGGAGGACCATCTGCTTCTTGTTTCACTTGATGCTGTTCTGTATCTTAGTTTTAATTTTGTACACCACTTAGAATTATCAAGAAGTTGTACAACTTTAGAAACATGAAAAATGAAGAAGTACATTCCAAAACCTATTATTAAATCTAGACCATCCAGAAGCTTACTGTTTCATATTTTCCTTTTTAGAATGTACGTAAATATGTTTCCAAAATTGATTTAAAAAACCCACATATGTGGGATCAATTCTTTAATACCAGGAGAGTAAATTTGTTTTCTTTCATAAAATAATTCTTTCTGCCAAAGTGCAGGCTGGATAGAGCCAAATTATTTATATAATGTAAGATCCCATATTTTGGGAGTAGAATTTAGCATGATATTTATATTTTTAACATTATAATTTCCTCAAAGCTATAGTTGAAAAGGAACCATTGTTGGAGATGATCAAATTAGATGAGTCATTGAGCCCTCAAAATTTCTTCCATTGGTAGCATAAGAAATCAGATAGTCAAGCTATTTACAATTTTCTTACTGATTCCAATAAACATGAAACAAGGTTTCCTTTTTTTCTGTCTTAAATTATAAGAGAGAGATTTTCTGTTTTTTAAATTTTGGCTCCACTGATTTTTCAAAATTAGATATCTAATTCCTTATTCCATGTGTCATGGATGTTACCAATCTTATTTTTTTAGTTTAATATAAAACAAAAATTGTTGATTTCACTTCAAAGACAGGGCATTTCTTAAAGCTGCTAGAATTCCAGGTATCTTTGACATTGGATATTATTTTGTCAGACATGTTTTAATTATATATACTGCTAATAAAAGTATTTAAGTAATATGTTTTTAGAAGCCTATTTCAGAGAAGCATCTGAAATCTTATATATACATATATACATATACACATACACATACATATATGCCTGCAAAACATGCTCCTAGATTGGAGTGAAACGCAGAACAGATTGATTTATATTTGGTAGACCGGGTGCTCCACCCAACAGATAAGATATATAGATATACATATACATATATATACACACACATATATAGACAGTAGTTAAGCACAGCTCCACAACATATGTTTAGTTTGATTCCATGCTGGTTGAGTTATTTCTTTGGCTCAGTCTCTGTGCTTTAGCAAAGATAAAAACGAAAGTGTTTCTTGCAGGATTTTATAACTCGTATTATTCAATAGCTGTTTTACAACAAGACAAACATTCCCATCTAAAATGTTAGGTTGACCCTGTGATACTTTGTAGAGTGTGAGAATTCTTCACTATTAACTGAAAATTCTCCCATTTATGCTTGAGCATCGCAGTCGGTGACTTCTCTTGAACAGCTAATTAGTCCGATTATTCCACAGATGCATAGGTTTACCACAAAGGTTTTTCTCGTAGTTTATCAAACGGATCATTCTCTTTGGGAATGTTGCAACCTGACAGGCTTGGAATAGTAACACAATCATCATTCTCCATCCCCATCTCACCTCTGTTGGAAGGGCGGGCGGGGGGTGGGGGGGGGAAGAATGCAGGGGAATAAATTGTGAGTGGTTTGGAAAAAAATCTGGATTTGATCCATTTGGCAATTGGGGGGTTGGGAAATATCCAAAAATGTGCACCTTTCAAAGTCTGGATTGTTGAAATGCCAAATAAACCACTGGATTCAGGTAATAAGCATTCTGGAGAAGATTACAAGAAATAAGCTTCCTTCCCTCTCATTGGCTTCCAGTCAGATTGTGTGTTGGGTGTTTTGTGTGTGTTTTGTGAGGTTGATAAATTTGCTACAGTTTTTGTAGTGTTTGAAATGTACCTTAAACTCATGAAAGTCTTAGGTAAGTTTTATTGGGACTGTGATCCTTGCTTATATCTATGTTGCAACAGTGTTGTCTGCTTGTTTATTAGTATTTGAGTGGAATTTTCAGGAAGAAACAACAGTAAAAATTTCTATTCATAATGCTCCTAAAGTAACTACATAGCTACTACTTATCCCGTGGTATGCTATGCTATGCTATGCTACGCTACCCTACGCTACGCTACGCTACCCTACCCTACCCTACCCTACCCTATCCTGTCCTATCCTATCCTATCCTATCCTATCCTATCCTATCCTATCCTATCTTGTGTCTCTTTAGCCTAATCCCTTATTTAAAATTTCTGTCTTAAACACTAATATATTTAATATTTTTTTAAAAAAATATTACATAAAAGAGTCACCCCGTTTTCTTCTACTCAAGATTTTTAAATGCTTGGAGAAAGAAAAAAAACTTCTTGTTTATCTTGACAAAACCTGGACCCTATCATTGCAATTGCAGGCAAAGCTGCACCACTTAGGCATTCCCCAGTTTTCTCATAAAGTTTTGCAACAGTAATTCCCCCCCGAATACAACTAGTCCTCGACTTAACAACAGTTCATTTAGTGACCATTCAAAGTCACAACGGCACTGAAACAAAGTGACTTAGGATGGTTTTTCACACTTACGACCATTGCAGCATCCTCGCGGTCACGTGATCGAAATTCAGACTCTTGGCAACTGACTCAGATTTATGACGGTGGCAGTATCCTGGGGTCATGTGATCACCTTTTGTGACTTTCTGACAAGCAAAATCAGTGGGGAAAGTCAGATTCGCTTAACAACCATGTTACTAACTTAACAACTGCAGTTATTCGCTTAACAACTGTGGTAAGCAAGGTTGTAAAATGGGGCAAAACTCCCTTAACAGTCTCACTTAGCAATAGAAATTTTGGGCTCAATTGTGGTCGTAAGTCGAGAACTACCTATACAGCAGTCCTGTGTTCCTATAGCAATTCTTCACTTGAAACAGTTGGGTGATAACCCAATTGATCTGGACTAGAAAATTCCCATTAAGCTAGACTAGATCTTTGAGTTCTGGGCTTCTCTTATGCATGAAAACTGCCTGGGTGACTTTGAGACAGTCAAACTGTCTCTCGGCCCTGTCACTTTACAGGGTTGTTGCAGGGAAAACAGGAGACAGGAACATTATGTGCACCAGCTTCAGTTGTCAAAAATAAAGACAGAACATCAATCTAATAATAAATCAATCAAAGGAATCTCTTACTGAACGAACATGTATACGATTCCATTTTCAGTATGATTACCGGACCACTGTCCATTCCAGAATCAGACTTTTCCCCCAAAACAGGGGGAAAAAATGGAATAAGGGAATTCTGACTGAAAGAGTAGAGCAGTCAAAGATATCTTCTTTCTCCTTTTCTGAATTAGCAAAGCAGGGCAGTGTAATCACCGGGGTGCTGATCGTTATTTATTTTTATTTATCTATTTGTCAAACTTATATGCCACTCATCTCGTTATTCAAAGTGACCCTTGGGCAGCTTGCAGTGCAATTAAAAATAAAAATGTCAGAACGAGTATAAATATAAAAACCAAATTTAAAAATGACAAGAGTTAAGTGAGCACCAGAAAGACTAGAAAGTAGCCGATCTTTTTGGCGTTGAGCAGGGAGCAAGCCCAGCAACCTTCACATTCACACCCCTGACGTGCATTTTTCTACCCTTGCAAAAGTTTTTGCCTACTTCCTAGCCCGTGCAAGGATCCCATCCCAAAGCCTAAGACTCTTTCAACTCCAGCTAATATTTACTGAGCAGTGATGAGTGTTCTCTGGTGTTTCCCTCAGCAGTTTGGAGCACCCTGGAGCTTCCAAGCCTCCGCTAAGCTCCTCCAATATGACATCACGGATTTTGCTACGACAGCAGCTCATGCGTGAGCAAATGCAGGAACAAGAACGCCGAGAGCAGCGACAGAAGCAGCAGGCAGCTCAGTTCATGCAGCAGAGAGGGGCTGTGAGTCAGACACCTGCCATCAACGTCAGCCTCCCCTCCAGCCACCCTCCTGCGACTCAGGTGCCAATGGAAGTCCTGAAGGTAGGCGACTTCTCGGATTTGAGAAGGTGGTGGAAGTTTGTTTCCATTAGTGCAAAGCTTTCCAAAATTGTTTCGGGCAGTAATGACGGAGTTTACAAAAAAAAAAAATATCTTCTCATCAGTTTTGCTGTCCCTGTGCATCTTGTGTTGCAGCTTTCCCAGGAAAGGTTCATTTCACTAGGCAAGGAATGGAGCTGTGTGTTTTTCTTTATTAAGGGCATTTCCCCCCCCCAAAAAGGAACCCTCCTCCCCCTTTCCCAATGGATATGAAACATGCTCGCCGTCTTGAAAACTGCTATCTTATTTCAGACCCCTAAAAAACATCATCAAAATAGTTTTCAAATTCTTTAACGTTGGTGGAATCATCTTTTTGGTTAATGTATAAGTATATGTGCATTTATACACGCATAAATACATATACATGTGTGTGTATATACCCATCAAAAGCTTTTTTCAAAAACTAATATAGATCCTGCACAAAAGATTGTTTGAGAAAGGTTTAATATGGAATACGGTCCTTTGCTGTAAGCCATTAGTAATCCTGTTTTGCTCAAATGACTTTATTGTTATTTTTTTGATGACCATTCTGCTCCTTCTCCAACTTCCTAATAGTTAGGAAAGTTGTTTCTAAAATAGATAGAAAGTCAAACTTCTTTTTCCCTTCATAGAAACGAAATTAAACCAGTAACATTTCTTAAGCAACACTCAGTATTTGACACTAACAAAGGTAATTCCAAAATGCGAAGGGACACTGCCATTTTCAACCTTTTGCACTGTTTTACCTGCATCCTATACAAGCAATGTTGTCTTTACTTTTTGTTCTGGAGCTAATGTCATTGTAAACCCAACTGTGTTCCTCCATTTCGAAATACAATTGTATGGTGATGGTAGTCAAATCAATAGTAAAACAGAGTTTTAAAAATGAAATCTTAATTCTCAAATGCAAAGATAATTTAGCCAAACATTTTTTAGTCTGGTGCACTTCAGCTTTACTGAGGTATAATCCTCAGAATTTCCCAACTAGAGATCTGATGGATGCCAGAAAACTGAGTAAGTTCCTTGTCTTCTAAACTGTGACATGCCTATTTTAGGATTTGCTTCAGTTGTCATATGTTCTCATACCAAGATGGCAGGAAACTATGCTGTCAGGTTTCAACAGTCATAGTCAGATAGATGTCTGAGAGCTGCTAAAAAGGGGGAGAAAGTTGTATGTTGCCTAGGATCATAGATTTTCCATCTCTTTCCTCACTGATGTGTTTTGCAAAATTTAGGAAAAACTACCAATGGCTTTTGTGATAATAGCAATAGCACTTATATACTGTCCCATGGTTTTACAGCACTGTCTGAATGATTTACAATGTCAACATATTTCCCCTAATAAACTGGGTCCTCATTTTACTGACCTTGGAAGGATGGAAGGCTGAATCAATCCTGAACTGGTCAGGATCAAATTCCTGGGAGTGGACAGAGTTAGCCTGCAATACTGCATTCTAACCACTGTGCCATCACGGCTCCTAGTGTTGGGCAAGAGTTGGTCGGAATTGAGTTTTCAGTCTCTGTGTTGAGTCTTAGACAATGACTAGCATATTAGGTCCAAAGAGAATGTAAGTAGAATCAAGAAGGCCCTAGAACTCATAGAGTAAAGGAAGGAAATGATGAAAAGTTAAGGAACAGGGATAATATGATGCAGTTTTGTCTTAAATTGGAATGCAATAATGAAGGCAGAATTATGTAGTCATGGCAGAGCTTTATCTAATAGAATGCTGTGACTCTAAGCAAGAGACCTCATTTTAAAACAGGGAGCTCCGAAAAAATATCTGGGTTCCTAATATGAGAACTTAATTCTTATACAGACTGGAAAGCACAATTAACATTAAGATGTATTCTCCAGCTTAGCCCTCGTATCCAGTCATATAGAACAGAACAGAACAGAACAAAACAGAATAGAATTCTTTATTGGTCAAGTCTAGTTATTATTTTCTCTTGATCAAAATAACTATAGAAAATCATTTTCTGATTGTTCTAAAGATGCTTTTTCAAAAGGCAAGTGGACTTTGTTTTTTCTTTTGAAGATATTATCCAAGAAGCATCTTAAGTTCTGCTTCAATTCGCTTCTTGGATGAGAAGTGAAACGTATTCAAGAGGAAAAACAAAGGAAGTCCAGTTGCCTTTTGAAAAAGCATCTTTGGAACAACTGTGACCTGGATGACTGAGACAGTCATTGCTATGGAACTCCTATGAGTTTGATCAAATAGGGCCGCTTGGTTGTGATGTGAACAATAACATATTGATTTTGTCTTTTTTCAACTATTTTGCCCACAACGTTAGATTAAAAATGGGAAAAATGCAACCAATATTGCTAAATTTGACCTAAATGTTTATCATTTGCCTTTCAACTATTTCTCAAAGTGCAAACCAAAGGTGCTTTTTCAAGAGGCAACTAGGCTTTCCTTGTTTTTCCTTGAAGACATTTGGGCTCTCATCCAAGAAGTTCAACTGAAGAAGCTTCTTGGATGAGAACCCAAATGTCTTCAAGGAAAAACAAAGGAGGTCCATTTGCCTGTTGAAAAAGCACCTTTGGGATAACCATGACCTGGATGACTGAGAATCTCCATAGACATCTCTCTAGGTGCAAGTCTGATATTTTATTTCATTACTTGACCTTTTCTTTCATAGTATGTATTGTGTGTACACTTAGCTTTATGTGCATCTTTCCTGCTTCTTGTAACAAGGAATCACTCGAAGAAGTAATTATTAAAAACAATTATAAAATGTAATAATTTCTCAAAGAATTTAGAAGGTTCAGAATCATCTCTTTCTGATAAAACCAAAAGCCTTATTAAACAAAATTGCTTAAAAAATTTTATATGCAAAAATGCTTTTACTATGTGGACCATGAATGAGAAAGCTGTGTCTGATGGAGGAAAGATTGTCAGTTTTGTTATGATTCCTAAGTTATCTTGCGTTGGCTGCATCTGACTATATCTGCTGCAGTCCACAAGCCATTTAACTTTTATAAAGTAACTGTCATCATTCTACTCTAGGTTTTTTTTTTAAGGCCATCAACAGCTTCTCTGGTACAAGATAAAAAGGACAATGATCTGCCTCTTATTGCAGAAGTGTACCTCTTGAGGAAAAATAGCTAAGTTGTGATAAACAAATGAACCCCAGATTTCATGGAAATGTCTCCCAGGATAAGAGGCTCATTTCTGTGAAAATTTCAGTTAGTATAGAATATGGAAGGAAGAATACTAAATGTAAATGGACATTATGACTATATTAAACAAGTTTTATATAATCTTCCCTTTCTCCTATTGGCTTCTATCTCCAATTCAAGTCGCTGACATAAAGTATGTACCTCAATAATAACCCTGTAGCTCTTACAGAATCATGCCTGCTGCCTATTTTTTTATCCTATCAGGCCCAGACAGGCCTATCATCAGAAGCCTTTAAATAAATTTCAAAACATTGTTATGTTAAAGTCTGGGCTGCAATGGAACATCTTAATCTACCTCTGCTGTCTGTGCTGGGATCCTTTTTATATGATGTACTTTTAATCACTATCACTTTGACCTGGCCAAAGATACATTTTAGTATAAAACCGCTTCCCTGATGTACGTTCTATAGAGCAAATTCTTTCATTTCAGTTCACATAAGCAAGTAGCCCCCTGCCATTTGTGCCAAACCCCGGCTGATCTTTGAAGAAAGAAATAATGTGAGTAGCAGATGTAATTTTTTATCATCATCTTTTTTCTACTACATGATCCAAATAGGTTTCTTGGGTTTATTTAGGAGCCAGGTCAATGAAATAGTAGAAATGACAATGTGTACTATGGTGAAGGAAAATACAAACATAAGCTTATGGTTTTTTTCCCAGCAGTAACTGCATCCAAATTTATATAAAGTTTCTTATAACAAAAAAAGCTTCTTTCAACATGTAAAAAACAAGAAAAAAGTGAAGGAAACGATTGGTCCATTAGTGGGTGAAAGTGGCAAGAAGGTGACAAGCAACAGGGAGAAAGCAGAACTATTTAACTCGTTTTTTGCATCTGTCTTTACACAAAGGGAAAAAACAGACCAACCTATCAAAAATAGTGCCATAAAAAACAGTATAGAAACACAAGTTAAGATAGGCAAGAAAATGATAAGTGAGCACCTGTCCAGCCTAGACGAGTTCAAATCACCAGAACCAGATGGATTACACCCCAAGGTTCTCAAGGAACTGGCAGATGTGATCTCAGAACCACTGAACTATATTTTTCAAAGATCCTGGAGCGCTGGGGAACTACCAGAGGACTGGAAAAGAGCTGATGTAGTTCCCATCTTCAAAAAAAGGGGGGGGGGAAAGGACCCAGGAAATTACAGACCTATCAGCCTGACCTCAATACCTGGGAAGATTCTGGAAAAGATAATCAAACAACGAATCAGCGAACACCTACAGGCAAACAAAGTCATTACTAAAAGCCATCACGGGTTTGTCAAAAACAGATCATGCCAGACAAATCTTATTGCATTCTTTGACCAAGTGACAAAATTAGTGGACCAGAGGAATGCTGTGGATATAATTTACTTGGACTTCAGTAAGGCATTTGACAAAGTAGATCACAACCTACTACTTGATAAGATAGAAAAATGCGGGTTAGACAGCATCACCACCAGATGGATCCNCACGGCGGAAGGAGGGGAGATCCGGAATAATCCGGATCTCTGGGGGGAGTTCGTTCCACAGGGTGGGGGCTCCCACAGAGAAGGCCCTCCCCCTGGGGGTCGCCAGCCGACACTGTTTGGCCGACGGCACCCTGAGGAGGCCCGCTCTGTGGGAGCGTACTGGTCGATGGGAGGCAATCTGCGGCAGAAGACGGTCTCGAAGATACCCAGGTCCGATGCCATGGAGCGCTTTAAACGTGGTAACCAACGTGGTAACCAAACGTGGTAACCAAACGTGGTAACCAAACGTGGTAACCAAACGTGGTAACCAACGTGGTAACCAAACGTGGTAA